AGATGTGGGGCAGGGAGGAGCAGATGTGGGGCAGGAATGGGCAGACGTGGGGCAGGAAGGAGCAGACGTGGGGCAGGAAACAACAGATGTGGGGCAGGAAGGGGCAGACGTGGGGCAGGAAGGGGCAGATGTGGGGCAGGAAGGATGTGAGGCTCCGTCCCGCTGTGGTTGCAGACCTGGCTGTGTCTGATCGCGCTGGGCGCCTCGGCGCTGTCCTGCGGAGCCACGGTAAGCGTCACTCGCAGCCTGCTGCCCGAGCACAGCCCGCAGCACAACAGCAAGTAGCGCACGCGCGTGTGCGAGTGTGTCACACCCCGCGTGTGTGCGTGTGTGTGAGCTGTGTGTGTGTGCATCCTGGGTGTCCCCGTGTATGCACATCCCTGTGTGTGTGTGTGTGTGCATCCTTGTGTGTGTGTGTTTGTGCCCCTGTGTGTGTGTGTGTGCATCTGTGTGTGTGTGTGAGCTGTGTGTGTGCGCATCCCTGTGTGTCCCCACGTATGCACATCCCTGTGTGTGTGTGTGCATCCTTGTGTGTGCGTGTGTGTGCATCTGTGCGTGTGTGTGCATCCCTGTGAGTGTGTGTGCATCCCTGTGAGTGTGTGTGTGCATCTGTGTGTGTGTGTGCATCTGTGTGTGTGTGCGTGAGCTGAGTGTGTGTGTGCATCCCTGTGAGAGTGTTTGTGCCCCCATGTGTGTGTGCATCCGTGTGTGTGTGTGTGTGTGAGCTGTGTGTGTGTGCGTATCCCTGTGTGTGTGTGGTCCCCCCGTGTGTGTGCATCTGTGTGTGTCTGCATCCCTGTGTGTGTGTGCCCCCATGTGTGTGTGCCCCCGTGTGTGTCCAACCATGTGTGTGTTCCCCCTCTGTGTGTGTCATCATGCGTGTACATTCCTGAGTGTGTGTGTGTGTGTTCGTGTGTGTGTATCCCCCTGTGTGTGTGTACGTTCCTGAGTGTGTACACCCCCCCGTGTGTGTCCATGTGTGTGCACAATCCCTGTGTGTGTGTGTATGTGCGTGTATCCTCATGTGTGTACATCCCTGGGTGTGTGCATCCCCAACCCGTGTGTGTGTAACACCCCTCGTGTGTGTGTGTATGTGTGTCCAGGTGTCCATGTATGTGTGTGCCCCTGTGTGTGTGTGTGTGTGCATCCCCGTGTGTAGACATCCCTGTGTGTGTGTGTGTGCCTCCACGTGTGTGTGCCCACATCCCTGTGTGTGTTTCCTTGTGTGTGTGTGTGTGTGTGTGCGCGCCCTCCCCGGGCACTGATCACCACCAACGTGACAATATTTGCACACACACCAACGTGTGACACTGAACTGTGGCACTGCTGTGCGGCGCCGACACGGCGGGGTGACGACGCTGCGTTGGTTGTGACAACGTGAGGTCGGGTGTGACGACAACAACACTACACTGGGTGTGACAACAACAACACTACCTTGGGTGTGACAACAACAACACTACATTGAGTGTGACAACAACAACACTACGTTGAGTGTGACAACGCTGCATCGGGTGTGACAACACTACGTGGGCTGTGACAGTGCTATGTCGGGTGTGACAACGCTCCATCGGGTGTAACGATCCTACATCGGGTGTGACAACACTACGCTGAGTGTGACAACACTACGCTGAGTGTGACAACACTACGTGGGCTGTGACAGTGCTGCGTCGGGTGTAACAACACTCCATCAGGTGTGATAGTGCCATGTCGGGTGTGTCAACGCTGCGTCACTGGGTGTGACAGCACTCCATCAGGTGTGACAACGCTACCTCAGGTGTACCAACGCTGTGTTGGGTGTGACAGCAGGTGTGACAGCACTGTGTTGGGTGTAACAACGCTCCATCGGGTGTAAGGATGCTGCGTCGGGTGTGACAACACTGTGTCAGGTGTGACAACACCGCGTCGAGTGTGACAACACCACGTCGGGTGTAACGATGCTACGTCGGGTGTGACAACACTGCGTTGGTTCTAACAACACTCGTTTGGGTGTAATGAGTTTGCATCGGGTGTGACAACACTGCGTCGGGTGTGACAACACTACATCAGATGTAACAGTGCTACCTTGGGTGTGATTACACTGTGTCAGGTGTGACAGCACTGTGTGGGTGTAACTGTGTTACGTTGGGGGTGACAGTGCTACGTGGGGTGTGACAACACTGTCTTGGGTGTGGCAAAACTACGTCGGGTGTGGCAGTGCTACAGTGGGTGTGGAAACGTGATGTCGGAGGTGACAACACTCCTTTGGGTGTGACAGGGCTACAACACTGGGTGTGACAACACTACACCGGGTGGAGTGGCACTGTGTTGGGTGTGACAACACTATGACGGGTGTAACAATGCCGTGTTGGGTGTAAGGACACCACGTTGGGTGTAACAATGCCACGTTGGGTGTGACAACACTACACTGCGTGTAACAATGCCATGTTAGGTGTGACAACACTACACCGGGTGTAACAATGCTGTGTTGGGTGTAA